TGCACAAGGTGACTCGAGTTAAGTTTTTTGTAATTAATTCGATTGCCCTGTGTGAATTACATAGGTGCTGTCTCACATCCATTAACAATGAAATTGATGGTCGAGTTTATCTATATTGTGTAACTGTTACTTTTTTTTTTTTGAATTAAATCCAATTAATAAAATTGAATGAGGTTGATGATGCTTATATATTAATTGATTACAACTATAGATGACCAACAACTAATGTAAGAATACCACAACAAATCTAAGGTTAAATTGTGAATGGAAAAATATTACACATACCATGAATGTTAACATTGTAATTTACAAAAAAATAAATTCACAGATATCATTAAAACAAACTTGAACATTGTGTGATAGACATTCGAAATTTCTCCATCAACGGTAAGACAAGTCTTGTTAAAGTGATATTATTTGGAATTACCATTGAAGTGGTTGAATTCCCTCGCCACTTCCATTCATCATCTACGTGCACAAACTATCTCCCATGCAATACGATGAGTCTCAAAGTATCACTCATACCCAAAATTAAGCAAATGAAATGGTAAGCATTCTACACAATTTTAATATATCGGACTTTACGTGCATACACGAGACACCTACGAATAAATTATATAGAACATATGCATACTGATTGGACGAAAAGTTATGTCTATCCTGACAGTTACGAAATGTCGAAATTGACATTTGAACTATTGATCTGACAGTAACCGACGAGAATGCATTTATGGTACGTGGTGGAATATGAAATAATTTTTTTTTTTTTTTAACAATTCTATTATCCATTATATAATAGATAGATTCATGGATATCTTCATCAACAAGTTAAACATCAAATTCAAGCATTCATTGAGCAATAAATGCATGCAAAAAGGTATCAAGAAGGGTAATTAGGACAATTTACACTCAAAAAAATGATATTTGGAGCACATTTCCAAAAAGTGAGAAATTTTGTGTGCATCTATATTGTAGGGATATCCATGCAGAATCCCCTAAAAAAGATATACACGAAGCATTAATTACTATATACTTTTATTGATTGATCTCAAAACAATTGTCTTCAAATTAAAATTCATCTCACCGTAATAAGAAGTTTATTATTTGTAACTAGAGAACTCAACTTTCTAGTCTATTCATAAAAAGCAACAAATTATCAAGTCCTTGTTTAGTTTTGATAAAAAAATAAAAAATAATATTTTATAAAAGCTGATAAAACGCGCGGTTAGAAAGTCGGAAAAAAATTATGAATCCCTTATTTATATTGAAAAGGTTATCCTATCATTATTAAGTTACCCCTTTCTTTGAGAAAGATTACATATAATTATCCCTTAAAAGAGAGATAGGTATGAATAATGTATAGAAGGTAGATATCAATTAATTATATAGAATGTGGAGGTGGGCAAACTTTAGGATACCTAAAGGACAATGGGAAAATAAATGGTGGGTGAAATAAGGTGTTTGTCGGACCATTCATAATGTCTCATGAACACGATCTGTATTTTTAATGGGTGTATGCTAAAGACCAAGACACAAGTGACACCTTTAGGGACGACGATGGAAAATGGTGGACGAATGATATACCAAATTGCGATAAATTTATTTGTACAAATTTGAGTTACAAAAGTTGGGTTACAAAGTGTGTTGACAAAATTCAGACCGTTAATTTCAAATGATTTAAAAATCTATTTTTAAAATGATTGGTGCAGATGTTGTTTTGTCAACCAATTTTGTAACCCAAATTTGTACATATAGCATAACTCTACCAAAATGTACCACTCATGAATCTTAGCACAAAATAAAATAATAATAAATAATAATTAAATTTTCCTTAATACCTACCAATTTGATATTATTTAAAAAGTAAGTCATATCTTACTTTTAAAATAAAAATAACTTAATTATTTCAACTTTCTTTAGTAAGAAATATTTTATTTTATAATTTGTACTTATAAATGAATTTACTATAAACTTAGGATTTTCAATACATTTGTGCATTGATGAAGAAAACTTGATACATGGACTATATTTAAAATAACTCATCTCCAATGTAAGGTGCAAGGATTCTATTAAATGGACATGACAAATTAAAAAAAAAAAAAAGACACTGTTAAGAGCTCTGTCTAACTTCAGAGAGCTCCACTAGACAAATCTATTTCCTATGCAAGTGTAAACGGCAACATTGAATTGTATAGAATCTATTTGAAATTAATTTTGTATTTAATTGTTAATTGATTAAATCCATGTTTGACATAACTAAAAATTTGATAAAAATCTAAATTAAAATCAACTATTAATTTTAATCACGTATTTTTCTATTATAAATAAAACACTGACTTCCAATAGCCCGTCTAAGACTAGCTATTGCAAGTTCTTTAATTCTAATCTAAATACAATGACAATTTCATAGTTTATCATTCATAAACATTGATAATATTCATCTATTTAGCAGTACCTTAGGAAGGTATGGTCTTGTAAGGGTGAGGTTCAAACAATGAAAAGACTTACGATCGATTCCTTGGCATTCAGAGACGAGGGAGGACGCAGTTATTTTCAAAATATTTCGTGGTCGTGGGCACCTCTATTGGTATCTTATTTTAGATAAAGGCTATTTTTCAAAGTGATGTAACTAAAAAAAAATCATAAATTTATAACTAAAAAGTCTCATTGTTGGATAAAGCAGTGTTCTAAAATTCGTGCAACTGTGCCGCCTAGGTACGACGCGCGGCCAAAACGCGTCGAATTCAAGGATGTGCGGGAAAATGCGTTTTCCATGTAAAATGCGGCGCAATGCGCTCGCCTAATACCGCCTAGGCGCGCCTAATGCGGGCATTATGCCGCTCAATTTTTATTTTTTTTGGGTAAAAAATCTATTTTTTTTATATATCCTTTTTTTAAATCTGTTTTTTTATATTAAAAAATCTATTTTTTTTATATAAAAATATATTTAATGCCTTAAAAATACGAAACGCATTATGACGCTTATTCTTCGCATTGACACGTCTAAACTTGTGATTCTTGATTCTTGGTCTCGACGCATCGCAACGCATTACGCATTTTAGAATACTGAGAGAAAGTAAATCAATAAATGCATGCAAGGAGCGGTACCAAAGGGAGAGGAACATTTGAAAAAAAAAATGAAGAATTAGGCTGGATGGAATGAATGGTTTAGTACAACTTTTGTCTTGTAGACTTTTTAAATTAGTTTCGTCACGCAAAAAATCGATCGTATTCTACTATTTTGTTTTCAAAGTAGCAAGCGACATAAATAGATATTAAATTTATAATTTTTATCAACTTTTCAAATATACATTTCACCGAAACCAACTGAAAATTGGATTTTTAACCGACATAAATACCAAAACCACGGAAGAGTAAGTTGCGGGTAGATCTGGCAATTGTAACAGGACCCGCAACCCACTTTCACTATCACCCGCCACGTAAATGGAATCACCTCTTTATTACGCAATCGCAGCGGAGCATTCGTCGATGGACACGCATCAATTACATGTGCCGACCAAAGTAAAAAGTTCAACCCGAATACTTTTACCAGCATGCCAAAACCGCCCCACGTGTCCTATCCACATACTTATTCGTGGCCCAAATTCTCTATCTAGAAAACACTCAAGACTTGTCAATTTACGGAACATTGCATATTCAGTCCCGAATCTATTATTTAGATAATAAATTGGTATTAAACATCTAAAAACGAACTAGTTGGTTTTGAGCGTTTCCTGGTAGTTGTAGTTATACAATCAATTATTAACTTTTCTAGCAATCTCAATGCCAACATTTAGCTATGTGAATTAATGATTTATCGAGAATACCTTTTACACCACTATTGTAATCAACATATGATCAAGAAAAAAAGTTTGTAATGACTTAGCGTATATGAATATGACACTAATAGAGCAATCGATGTCAAGCTGATCAATAATATCTAACGTTTGAAAATAACATTCTTGATTTTTTCGAAGGCTCGATCATTGCTACCTCTCTCTTCTATTATTACCATTGTTTCATTCGCTAAATAAAAGATTAAAAATTTAGCAATTCTTTATTAGTTCTAATTTTATTTTATTTTATTTTTTACATTTTTCTTTATTGAAGATTGTTCCAAGTTCTAATTAAATCCTTAATGAAATTTCAAACAATATTTTGACCAGTATATACATTATGATAATTGTTTATAACAGATAAATATAAATTCATTAACTATTTTTTTGTAAATGAAATGGATATATAATGAAATATACACTTACACTCATATTTAGAACCTGTCTGGCAAAAATTAAAAGCAGCTTGGAATCGATTTTTGTACCTTTTTTGTCAAAATTGTGGGGGCCACATCATACAACAAGGTCCACGATGGCGGCTCCAACGGTTGAAATTGTGATTTCAATCACAAACAGATAGGGCCTTAACGTTATCCTGTTATCGGGACTTTCATTCTTGCCTATCCATCGGTCTTCAATAATTATATATCCAATTTGATATATGGACGAATAAGCAAGTATATGTATCATGCTTAGTTTGAGATGATGATCAGCCACACTAAAATTGAGACATGTCTAGACTTCTATGAGATGCAACACCAAGAAACTTTTTACAATGAACGTGCGACTTTATCAGATATATTGGATCATATATGAAATTTCTTCAATCTCTCAAGATTGAAATATCCCTTGTTCTATTAAATTATAGATATGGGTTTCATTCAAAAATGGCTTCACATATCTTTTGTTTTCCCAACTCGTCCCAAAAAAATTGTAGCGAGACAAGACCTATTGTATAAACTTAACTTGAAGATCCAATTGTTATTGGGGGCAATAAGTGAGGGACCTGTAATGCAATTTTCACAACAATTATCAATCACATCAAGACGAAGAAAAATATATAAAGGCGGTACTGACTCCTCTGAGCAGAGAGTCAGTCTGTCAGTGTCACGTCAAAAGTGAGGCTTTGCATTAAAGAAAAAGAAGGATTTTGCTCCTTAAAACATGCAGAATAAGGATGCAGAAATGAATAGTAAAATTGGAGGTAAAGTGATGGACGGTTCAGATATAATGGAGTTGGTTGAAAATGAGAAGGTTTTTAGTAATTTTGTGGATCATAAGTTTCAAGAACTGGATAGAGACTGTGACGGTAACCTTTCCGTCAAGGAACTGCAACCGGCCGTCGCAGATATAGGCGCCGCTCTTGGCTTGCCGGCTCAAGGTTCGTCTCCGGAGTCCGATCATATCTATAGAGAGGTTCGTCACTACTACGACATGCTTGGTATACAATATTAATATAATAAACGTTATTTTTTTTTTTAAAAGTTTATCTTAAGGGTTTTTCCTTTTTATTTATCTTAAGGATGTATTTATTAAGAAAATAAATTTTATTTACATAAAAATTATTAATAAATGTTATATTTGTTTATTTTTTTATTAATGGGTAGATGAGAAAAGGGATAGATAGATTGAATAAATTGTCTGTAAAATAAAAATTTATTTCTCCATAAAGAAAATATTTTCCTTAATTTTTTTTTTTTTTAATGTAATGAACTTTTGGAAAATAATTTTCATGAAAAAAAAAATCAATTGAACACAAATTTGGATGAAAAATAATAATTAAAAATAAAGTAAATCAAACGTGTTTATCTACTTCTATTTATTGTAGGGGAGTTTTGTTCTCAAATTAAGTCAAACTTTCTCTAAAAAATTCTTCTAATTCGAGGAATATTTTTAAAAAATTATTTAAGTACATTCAGAAATAATTACTTAATTTTAAAAAGTAGTTTTTGACTTTTTAAAAATATGGACTCTAAAATATGGAACACGACATAGATACATATTTATCCTATATTTGTTCTATTTTTTGAAATTTATTTTTTCTCTTCTTTAATCACATATTTATGGATCTACAATTTTTAAATAACTCATTTTATTAATTTTAATCAAATTTTATTTAAAAAAAGTTAATTTTTAATTAAACCAAACATGGCTCAGTATGCATTCATGTCATAGAAGAAATATGTCTAGCTACCTCGGGAAGCATCTAAGAGCAATGATGATAAGGGCATAAGGGCCAATTTTGTGAGATTTGGCTTTTGACTCTTTTTTTTTTTTTTTTCTATTATTATTATTATTTTGTTTTTTGTCGANAAAAGTTGATAAAATTTAAATCAAAATCAAGAATTAATTTTAACCACAAATTCGTAATTTTTATCTACTAAACATTTATTAAAATTTATTAAAAAAATCATTTTTAGCTAAATCAAAAATGAAAAAATGGGGATCAATCAGCGCTCCACTGGCACATTTTACCCAAAAACAATGGGGACATTGCAACTTTAAACCTTTAATTTATGATAAATGAATATGACATTTGTGCAGTGCCAACTTTTCTGCTAAACAAGAGTAGCAAGTCACTTTAGTTGTACTAATGAAACAGTGTATTTTATGGACTGATAGTGGTATAATAATTGTATGGTAACGGCGGAGAGGCCGACTAAGGCAGTCGCACTTTCTCATGTTAGGATCTTGTCGAACCTATTAACGTACTACAAAACCAATGTGGATCTTGGTTTGATCTCTATATAACTATAAAAGAAATATGATATTGTTGATACAGGTGCTTGATGAATTCACACATGGAAAACAAGAGAAAATAAGCAAAATTGAGTTTAAAGAGGTTCTTTCTGATATTCTATTGGGCATGGCTGCTGGTTTAAAACGAGATCCCGTTGTAATTCTTCGAATGGATGGTCAAGACCTCTTCGAGTTTATTAGCAGCCCAACTTTTGATCCGGAAATGCTGACAATATTCTCTGAGATTGAATTACCCGATGGATCCCTTCAAGATTACATTATTAAGGCTTTTGAGAAACTTACAGTTGATCAAGGGATGCCTCCTGCAACAGATCCTTGGGTATGTAAAGAGTGAATTTGTTTTTGCTACGTATACATGATATGTAAGACCTTATTGAAAAAACCATGATTAGCTCCAAATAATGTGGACGAACGTACTAGTATGGCACCGGTTTCTATTAACAATTAAGCTACTTGTACAGAAATTGTTTATACCTTTGTTGGCAGATCATTAGTTGAGAAGTCCAAGATGCATGTCACCTCATCATCTGTCAAATTTTCTTTCAAACTAACCGTACATGCAGCATAACTCTCTATTAAACCTCCAAAGTTTAAGTGTGCTTGGACGAGAGTATTTTGTTGCTTTTCCAACAAACGTTTACTTAGAATGCGACTAATTAACGACTGCCCTCCCATCCCATTTTTGTAGGTTGCTATCAACATTGTGGAACCAGCACTAAAATCCCTACGTATTGACCCTCAGCAACCAGTTTCACAAGAAATATTTTTGGCGGAGTTTAAAAGAGCCACAGAGAGTGTGGTGCAACATCTCAAGGAGCAACCTGCTATTGTTGCTCACAGTCAGAATACTTTCGATGGCAGTGGCATTAAGCAATTGTTGTCTAACAAATTCGAGTCAGATAAGGTCAGTGACATATTTCTAATAGTAAACTAGTTCTTCTAGTCCTTATATTCTAGATTTAAGTGATTCTTGAAAAAGAATTGAGTTCCCCTCTCCGGACCATTTTGTTAAACTCCGATTCTCACTTTTGGGGGCTTTAATATCATTTGTATTTAATGCAGATATTGGATTCGGCTTTAAAAAGTGTACCGAAGGATCGCCATGGGAAGATATCAAAGGAATATTTGCGTGTGGCACTTGATGTTATCGCCCCCTCTGCTGGTTTACCTCCAATTGGTGCCGTTGATCAGGTATTTCTTGACCACAAACCGTAGCCTATTTTAAGCATTTTAGTTTACAGTTTTAGATAACACTGGCAAATTTGCGATAGAGAACTTTTATATAGAGAGATTTAGTACAGAAGATTCGATAATTAGCTAGGAATTTCTAAATAAAGTTGGCTCGAAATCAAGAAGTCATCCATCACTTGTTTAGCCATGGGATTGTGACATAAGTTGCGATCACGACTTAGTGATTGTATTATCGATTCCTAACTTCGTCAAGTGATTCGTCATGAATCAGCGATGCAAATGATCATCGATTTTTTTCATCTGAAAGTGGTTTAAATGATTTCTCTTAACTGAGATATTACCTATACTATCGTTCGCAGATGGATAAAATAACGATCAAAGCACTCGAAATGTTCAAAGCGGATGATGGGAAACTGGTTAAAGTAGACGAGTTCAAGAAGTTATTGACTGAAGTGCTCGGGAGCATCATGTTGCAACTACAGGGCAATCCGATTTCGGTGTTTGTAAATTCGGTTGTGCACGAGCCAATTACTTCTTCGTCTACACTTCTGCAAACATAATTTTCATCTCGCGACTCTCAAGTGTTTTTTTAGTATTGACAACACCTTGTAACATTCACGGAATGGATCTGATCGAGTATGAATTTGATGGGATCAAATAGGAAAGGGTATTGTGAGCCGTATTACTATATTTATTGAATTTGGAATTGCCCTGCTTAATGTTTTTTTACTATAAATATCAGTATCAGTTCATCGGGTTGTCTCTGTCATTCAAGATTCAAAAGGAAGGGGTTCGGCCATGGTTATTTCTAGATCTATGCTTATTAACGCTTAGAAGTATTTACTATTTAGTTGATTGTTACATTATTAGTGTACGAGTACCTAGATGGATATCCATCGTAAGTCTTTCTTTTCTCCAGTGAAATTCCCCTTCAATTTAGGGGAAAAAAGAAAAAATTGTATGGGCGGCTCATGGGATCTACGCCCGGCAAGGCCTACGATAAGCCTGTCTCGAGCCATTTGAGCTTAGGCTCGGCCATAAAAGGCTCAAACCGGTGCTATCTATATTATATAATTATGATTTTAAAATTTTTCGCTTTGTTGAAAACTTTGAAAGTAAATATGAAGTTCCTATAAATTTAGTAAGTATGATCTGTTTAGTTGAAAGTTAAAATTAAAAAAAATAATTTATAGCTTTTGCATTTTGAAAACCTGAAAACTTGTATAATTAATTAATTGTAAGAATTATTAAGTAAATATGGTATTTTATAGTTTTTAGATATTTGGTATGTATTATTTTAATTGTTAAATAATTTTTAGAATGATTAAGTATTTAAAATAATAATAATAAAAATAAGTAGCTACTTTTTACGTGTAGGTTCGTAAAGTTTGAAATTAACCTCCATATCTAATCACGCTTTACGCTTTTAAAAATACTGGTATACATATAGACATAGACAATAGAGTTTCAATTCAAGTCTAATTAGATCAAAATTGATTTAGTTGCATATATAATTCTTGAACTTCAATTACAATTAAAATTAAGTTTAAACCTTTCAAAGTAATTGCAATTGATTCCAAGATTTTATGGAGCTACCATATGGACATATTCGAATGTGTATATTTTCCAAGATCCAATAATTAGTTCATGTTTAGTCTATCTTAGACCACTAATCTAATTTTTAGTCTTTATTTTTTTCATTAGACACAAGATAATGTACTATTGGAATATAAAATCACATAAACTAAAATATTTGTAATATTATTCTTTGACCATTCTATACATATTTCATCTCAATTTGAGATTCAATAATTAGGTACAGTCAAAATGACTATTTTGTCGTTATAATTATTCTCATCAACTTAAGTGACACTCTTTAGTGGTCCTTTGAACCAAATCACACATATTGAAGTTTGGTTGTCATTAAACGGTGAGGGATCCCAACACGAATTCATGTTCTCTATTTTGTTCATTCTCAATCTTCTAACTCATCGAAATAGTTGATCAATCAAATTGATCTCACCCATTAGTCAGTCAAATCATTATAAAACTTATGAAAAGATATACAGAACACTGTCAATGAATTTACATGAAAAATTAGGTGATCAAGTAGAATTTAGTCATCACATGGTCCATTTAATATACTCCAAGTGTACTAGTGTCGTTATTAAATTATTTATGGGATAAGGAAATAGTCAAGATTATAATTTCTCAGTACAAGATGTCAACCTTTATCCATAAATTGTGAACAATTTTATTTAAAATAAAAATATAAGTTTTGTCACTCATATGTTTCCCAATGAAAGTACCCAATTTATATTATCACAAATAATTATTGACACGTTTATTCATATGCTCAATATTAAACAAAATGAAACAACAATATATGATTAAAAACCAAAATTTATTTATTATGAAATCATCATTTTACATTACAACAAAACTTGTTCATATATCGACACACATCTCAACATGAACATGTTGCCTGATGATTGAGAAATATAGACAACAAAAGAAGGAAGACACCTTTCACTTGAATAAGTTACAACTAGTCATTAAATTAAAACGTAGCCTTCACAACGTTAAAGAAGTCGTGATCATAAAACTTCGACCGATGGTGCTGATGTGGAATAATCTTCATGTACAAATAGAAAGCCACACCATGATTTTGGGTTGCCTCTTTCCCGAGGTGGAGGCGAAGACCATCATCAACTAGAGATGGCAACGGGACGGCTTTGGGGCTAGGCGGGTATTTCCAGTTAAAATACAAATTCAAAATTTTAAAATTCAAATCAAATAATGCTCAAACTAACTACATCAATATCCAAAACAAAAACTCGAAACAAAAAATATCCAAAACAATTTTATTTTTTTTATTCTTCACGGGACGGGTTAGAGGCGGGGCATCTCCGCCCTGCCCCGATAACTATATCAATATCCAAAACAAGAATTCGAAATAATGCCCTGAGACCTGAGACGGGGCGGCGAACCCAGCCTCGCCAACCCGTCGGGGCTAGTTTTTTTGGCTCCAGTCGGGGCGGGGCTAGTTTTATTTATTTATTTTTTTTTGCCATCTCTATCATCAATTGAATAAGATTTATGATTTATAGTCAGTCGCCAGACTCTCTAAATTGCACTCTACCGTGTAACTTGAGACTATTTTTAATGTTACACGTTAATTTAGTGGTTAGCTTAGATGAGGCATTTCAACAAATTTCTCGAAAAATGAATTTTTTTTTCTTTAAGAATCTTAGACTGTGATTTGTCATTGGACCTCTACTTTATTAATTGATTTGGGCATCTCAAAAGGACAATTCCAATATGCTGACTCTTTGTCTCTTGTCAAGTTCTAGCACACCCATAAAATATTTCTTCAAATAGTAACTTCAAAAGAATACTTTATAGACATCAATTAAATACTTGGTATGATACAACGTATTTAGGACAAGTCGGATATAACTTTTTTGTAATATAAGTTGTTCTTTCTGTAATAGCCTTTAGCTGCAGGCCGGCAGGGGATAAAACTGGTAAATATGCGCTGCAAACTCTATATAAAGCTCTACTTGTGCATGACTTTTACTTCACTACCAAACTTCTAACTTCAAACATGTCTAAGGCTAAAATGCTTGCAGTTTTCATGGGTTATGTACTTTTGTGCTACCTTAGCAACCCTAATTTGGCTCATGCTTCAAATGCCGATGAGTCAAATGCTGTGTTAACCACCATCCCGAGTACCGTAGGGGCTCTTGACATCCCATTTGAAGAACCACTTGGTGGACTGCCGCATAGAAGGCTGTTGGAATGTTGTGGATGTCAGGGCAGATCTTGTCTCCTTTGCTGCAAGACAAAGAATTGAACAGTGTGATCTTATATTCTCGTTTTCGCAATTGGTATTTTATTTTCATCCTGTCGAATGTTATGTTTGCTAATGTAATGTATCAAAGAACTTTGATACCGTAGTGTATGATGTGTATCACCTACATGTCATTTGTCAAACTTCTTTACCTTTTTATGCATCAACCTATGTAATCTTAGTTTTCTGTTGTGTGCCATCTAAGGAATGTAAAATATTGTCTCCTTATGGTAATTGGATTTTTCAGATATTTTCAGGGTAAGCAATTATTCCTTCTTGAGAATTCATAACTATAAAATTGATGCTCACTTTGGACGGCTTTATAAATTTAAGCCACAATAAGTACAATTTGCTTAAAATTTCAAGTGACGGAGAGTATTAATTCACTCTTACATATGATTAAAAAAAACCTAAAATATGCGAGGTTATCGCTTATCATTGAAATGTTAACTGGCTCGACCGTCAAAGTAGAGTCATTCACCCTCTGCTTGAGCTTACAAAATGAGGTTTCTAGGAGATAGTCAGCACAATAGTGGGATATAAAAATTTCATCATCACATACTTTCGTGAATGCAAGCTTCAAGCGAGGGTCTCTCATCAATCCTTCGAGGGAGATCCAAGTTGATTGTTACATTATTAGTGTATGAGTACCTAGATGGATATCCATCGTAAGTCTTTTGTCCATCGAAAATCTCCTTCAATTTAGGAAAAAAATATTGTATGGGCGGCTCATGGGATCTACGCCCGGCAAGGGCCACAATCAGCCTGTCTCGAGCCATGTTGAGTTTAGGCTCGGCCATAAAAAGGGTCAAACTGGGTCTAGATGACATAGTCCATTCCTTTTTTTTTTTTTTGATACCCAGATTTCTCAGCTTACACTAGACTATGTCGTGGACCACCTATTCCCTGCCCCTCAGCGATGGGTGGAAGTTAATCGCAGTATATGCCCAAGTTAACTAGGGTCCGTGTACCCTTTATATTCCTAACCCCAACGGAGCCTTCCTCCATGAATATTACATCACCAAGCTGCTCCATTCATAATTGAGTATTACATCACTCAGCTGCTCCATCCAGGATTCGAACTCCTCACCCTGAGATTGCAAGTCCAGCAATGTCCGTCCTTTGCCAACTCTGATGTGCCCGGGCGGCTGCCCATTCCTTTTTTTGTTTTTGGCGTGTGTGTAATAAGAATTAGCCATAAAATAAAAGCTCTCTTTAAATCAGTCATCTTGTGTGTATATAATAATCAACAAACATAGATTTAGAACTTACTCAAATCGATATTCAATAATCATGAACTTTCAGATTTTAATTCAAAAATTTGGCGCTCCCAACTTTCAAATCTCTTATCGTACTAGTCTTTCACCCGTGCGATGCACGGTGCGATGCACAAATTTATATTAAGTGAACATATGCTAATTGAGAGTTAGTTGCTGTTGCAGCATCCCAGTCATCTCTAGCATGAGATTATCATGTTAATTAGGATAAAATCTATGAAATCCATTTATTTTTTGATGAT